TTTATATTTAAATTAGTTAATAGATCTTCAGCAATTGCCCTTCCAGATGTCTTGATGTTACAGATTGCTCTCAATTCTTTTTTAGCACAAATATTCACAATAAGGCTTTTCCTTTTGTTACTCTTTATGAAAATATTTTCTTTTTTTGTTGAATAATAACTGGACATTGAATATTATTATTTCTAACAGAACATCTCAGCAATAATATCTTATTGATCTGTAAAGTACACGGAGACATTTTCGAAAAATGCTAAGGTGAAATAATATGCCTTTGAGGAAAAAAGCTTTGTGAATGTGTAAATAATGGGATTGGCTGCCAATGTACCTGTCAGCAAATATTTCCCACCCTGAAAACATTTTAGGAAAAGATTAGTTTGAATATTTCGATGAATTTATTGTTAGAAGGGCTCCAATTTAGGGTTAGGGAATACAAAAAACACAGATATTACACTCAACTTCTGATATATTAAGGTAAGCTTCAACCCTCCATGGGTTCGTTTGCACCGCCACCCGTAAATAATATCTAGATATGCTGCATAACACATTAAAAGACATACGTTGATAAAATTCTATAGAATCACACTTACACTACAAATATTTGACTAAAATGGGCCAAAAATGAAAGTTGGAAAACACAGAATTAAATATTCTTAGTTACTTTATTGACAATTCTTCGTTTATTCGTTCGCCTTTGAAGAGAGACAGTTTAAAAGTCTAATTCTTTAAAAAGAATGGCAACTCATCCTCCAGAATCATCTTTGCCGGTAAATAAAATATTTACAGTATTTAAAAAGTTTAATACACTATTTTTCCTATAATCTATTAAAATTTAAAGAAAAATGAATGCAAAATCTTTAAGAATTAAATATTTCATTTCTTTGACCAGATTGTATTATTAAACAAAATACCTTGAGTTGACTGCTCTTTTCAGAAGGAGATGATTATTTTTCATGGAGAAATTTGTATTGAAACATATAAAGAGATTGAATCAAGAAATAAGACCGCAGATTCTTCATTGACAGAAAAGACTGCACATTCTTCATCGACAGAAAAGACTGCAGATTCTTCATCGACAGAAAAGACTCCAGATTCTTCTTCATCAAGAGATAAAACCGCAGATTCTTCTTCTTCAAAAAAAGAGATTGCAGCATCACTTTCAACAATAATTTTATCAAAACTAAAAGAAAACTTTTCTATTGATAGATTTGATCTAACAATTGTCTGTCATCCTTCAAATGACACATTTGATGAGCAAAAAGAAGAGATTGAAAACAAATTTATAGAGAATTTTATAGATATTCTTAAAGAAAAGAAAGTATTAATAACATCGGATAGTCTTGAATATCCTGCATTGAAATTACTATTAAAAAGTATTAAAAAATATGAGGAAAATGGAGGTTGTCCTGTTCCAATAGTTATATATAATCCAAAAGAAAACGATGAGGGAAATGTTAATTATTTATCGATTGTTGATGATTTGAAGAGAGAGATGGAAAATGATGTAATTCATTTGATTTTTGATGAAAATGATGATAATTTATTAAAAATACAAAACTGTTTAGAAAAGAGACAAGATGTAATATGGTTGAACAATAAAAATAAACATCGTTTAGCTAACAAGGTGACAAAAAATACTGAATGGTTAAGAATAGCCGATGAAAAGAGAGACGACTTTCTCAAGATAATTATATTCAATATAATTAATAAAAAGAAAATATTTGGAAGAAAATCATATTTATCTGATATTGGAGTAAATTGTATGGTTAAAAACTTTCCTAATTTCAACATGAAACCAAACTTTATAATACAACTACCATATTCAACTCTATCTGATGATAATATTCAACAAATTAAGCATCATCTAACAGAAAATGCATCATTATTTTTAACTGATGGAAAACCAAATAGATTATTGGCAAAAGCTACAAATGACAACAAATCTATATGGTGTGGATTTGTAAAGGGTGAACATAATACAATCAAAAATAAAGATAGTGTAAGTCAAGAGACATTAAAGGGTGCCGGTTTGGACCTAAATCATCAATATTTCTATTTTCTTGGAGAAGATGAGGATGAAATGGAAACTAAAGAAGCATTCATTAAACATGTTCAGACACAACATGAAAAGGTTATTGATGTCTTAATTAATTTTGAAGGCAATAGTAATGATGAGGTTATTCAAAGGTTAAAGTCTAAAAAATATATTATTTCTCCAACTGAAATAAAAGATGAGAAGATGAATGAAGAGTGCAAGAAATATTTGAAAACATTCAAAAAAGAGGAAAATGGTTTAAAAGACTGTCTTCAAGAGATTTATGAAGAAAATTATCCATCCTTATTTATTGATGAACAAGACAACGAAACTGTAAAAAATACTTTGAAAGAAAGGAAAGATATACTGAAAGGCAAACATTTATTTATAACATTTAACAATAATGACGAGCACGATAACTTTGATAATCAGTTTATGAGAATCTTTGAAAAGAAATTTAATGTAGTTGTAAAAGTATTCAAACCATTGATATTAATTGATGGATGTTCAAAATTATTAGGACCCTGTAAAAAGGCGACACAAGAAAAGAAAATTAAATTATATAGTACAGAACCGTCATGTCTTGAACATAGCTCAAAGGAGGAGTGCCCTAATCATAAAGAGAAATATGACCACTATAAATCACTTAAAAAATCATTTCTCCCTAAAGCGATATTGCAGAAACAAATTATACAAGCGGAAGATAAAATTCCTGATTTCTATTTAATTTCAATATTAATAGTAATTGGCGGTGAAATATACAAAACTCTACAAGAAATATGCAACATACTAACAGTGAAAAATGATAGAATTGATAAAAAACCTAATGTATTTATCATTAGAAAATGTGGAAAAACATCATTATTTCTTTATAGATTTATTTCTATAATTAAATCTGAAAAGGCAGAAAGTGAAATTTCCGATTTATGGAAAAAGAAGATAAAAAATCTTACAATGACAAAAAAAGTAGATGAATGTTTTGAATTGTGTAAAACAATTTCTAAATACAAAGATCAAATTCATATAGTTAATTTATATAAAGAAGATTTAAAAACTGCTATTGAAGATGCCTATTTCAACAAATTAAATGATGATGATCAATTTGAATTGGCAATCCGCTGGGGAATTACTCATAGACAGTTTAAGGAAGATTTTGATCCTTACATTGAAAAAGAAAAATTTCAAAATTACCAAGAATTCTTTACAGATTCCTTAAAAAGTGACAATAAACGTGTCGTTGAAATAGTTCATAGTATTTTTCCAGATGTAACAAAGACTTTCTACCCTGATGAACTTTTTACACTTTCACTTAACAACGTTAAAGGTTTTAAATTCATTCAGAATTTAGAGAAAAAGCCAATTGTTGTCTTAGAAAAGTTAAATGGTGAAGGGAAATCGATTAAAGACTACAATTTGCGTCTTGAAGAGTTTAATAAGAAACAATCGTGTGAAGGGGCTGAAAAACTCTTAAGCATTTTGAATAATGAAGCCTTTAATAAAAATAAAGAAGCTCAAGATCATAAAAAAAAGCTTAATAATTTCAAAGAAGAGTTTAAGAATGCCGTACTGAATTTATTTAATGAACATTTTGATAAGAATTCTTCAGTTTATAGCTCACTGGAAAATAAATTGTTAGATGGTGATGACATAACATTCATATTTGCTTGGTCGATTATTGCCAACAAGACAAAAGTCTCGGAATACTTTTGGCTGAAGAGTAACAATCCTTTAAAATTGGCTATATTTGCTTTTGGAATTTTAAAACGGGCTAGGAAAGAGGCAATCAAGGAATATGATACTTTTTTAGCTACATCCTTGTTAGAGAGGAAACAAGTTTGGAAAGACAAAGCCCTTAGATATTTAAATGATGCTTGTGAAAATGATAAAAACATTATTGACAAAAAAGTAAAGGAAGAAGCGAAGCAGAGACCAAATTCCATAGACTCTGCTAGAGCTGTAAGATTTAAAGAATATATTGCCAGTGCATTTGGCCAATGGTATTTGAATGAATTATGGCAAGGAAACTTGGGCAATGGAACCAATTTTTCACCAAGAGTAAAATTTTGGATAGCTCTCGTAAGTATGATATTTAATTAACTGTTCTAATTTTCTAATTTTACCATTCAATCAACAGATACTCCATCTTCTATGTTTATTCACATTCTCCTTCTATTATTTAATTGATCTTCAACCAAAAACTGATAAATCTTTACATGGTAGCGAAGTGGCTTTTTACTTTTTCCTTAGTCTTATTGTACTGATGGAAATAAGTCAGGTAACAAATTCATTCCCATAATTCACTGTAATGACAATTTCTGTCTTCCCCTCCCTCCCCTCTACCTCCCCCATATAAAATAGATAAAAGAGCTGAGTCTTCTACAATATTGGAAACATTTGACAGATGATATTTGGAATATTCTTGAATTGCTTATATTCATTTTCTGTTTACTATCAGTAATACTTATTTTTGTAATACCAAACAAGAACTTTGCAGTTGTAAGAAGCTTTTACGCCATTTCAATTTCGTTGTTTTATTTGAGAACTGCACTATTCTTATACAATTGGCAAGCATTTGGAATAAGGCTAATTATGATTTTTGAAATGATTAAAGATACAGGAGTAATGATTCCAATATTCTTAATATTTATATTGGCCTATGGAGTTGCCCTACAAGGACTTTTATATCCCAATTTTCCACTTGGACTTACCCTTTTCAAAAATATTGTATACGTGCCATATTGGCAAATATACGGAGAATTATTTCTTGAAGAAATTACGGGAAATGATGAAGAATCGTGTAATTCAACATCTATAAATGGTAGCAGCGATCGTTGTCCACAAAATTCAGCAGTAGCAGTAATACTGATGGCAATTTATCTATTTGGAGCTATTATTGTGTTGGTTAATTTGCTTATTGCTATGTTTGCAAGTACATATAATAGAATTGAAGCGAGATCTGAAATTATTTATCGTTATAAAAGATACGACTTCAATTATAGTTTTCACTTTTTTTTCCGCTTAGGAGTAAGTAGTTAACCGACCAATTAGAATTCTTTGTTCACTTTTTATGTTCAACATTCATTTCAGATTTTCAGGACTGCTATTGAAAAATTATGGTCCTGTTTTAAAAGGTGTTATAAAAGGTCTACTGCAAAAGTGGGGACTACAGTGTAGAGAACCGTTAACATTTTTGTCATCATTAGTAATTCTTTGAGAATGAATGCGTGAACGATTTAGCCTGTTGAAGAGAGTAATATCGCAATAGTGTAAAATGTTGATTTATCTAAATAGCTGATTATCACCTGTCAGAACATGTTCCTTTTAACAAAATATAATATATTTCTACTAGAAGAAACTGGTAATTATTGAATTTAGAAATCGTTCTCTTTTGGCTGAAACCTTAGACTTAATAGTTTCTGTCCCTATCACCTATGACAACTGTGTTCAATAAGTGACCATTTAATCAATATCCTCAAAGGTGAAGGTTATAAAAAAAAGCATATTCAGTTCAAACGTGACTACACAATCAGGAAATTTTCTCTATATAGTGTGGCGTAATTTGCAGTTTTTCCCATTTTTACAGTTATATAATTTTGAGATCAACATGACAGAAGAAACTAAAATAGTTCAGAAATATTGTCCTTTAAGTAAATTAACTGCTGATAATCTGAACAATTTATCAGAAGATTTCTCAAATATACCGCAAAGAAAATATACAGTACAAACTGTAACAGAATTTTTAAATCTATTGCAGTTGAAGATTTGTAGTAAAAATGGATACAGCGAAAATTCACCTGGAGCTAGAGGATTACAAATAATTTTTGATCGCTTTAAATTTATTTATGATAAGTAAGTAGAAAGAATAAGAGAGAACAACAGCTCTCTTTCCCCTTCCCTCCCGCTCTTCCCTCATCTCTCTACCATTATTCAATTACATTATGTAATAAAAAGAATTGTTTTCAATTATCTTACAGTAAAATGTCCGATAATGTTAGTAAATGGAAGCCAATTTGTAAGAAATTAATGATAATAATCCTAGCCGTTTACGAAGAGAATTGCGTATCATGCGGTAATATTCCTTTTCTAATGAACTTTTTCGAATTACAAAACTTTGGCGATTATCTACAAGTAATCAATAAATATAGTTTTTAATTAATAATTTAAATTAATAACAATTAAACGTCTCTTCTTATCAGAAAGAAATTAAAGAAAATGAGATAAAAAAGCTTTTAAAAGTTCTTTGTCAGGAGGACATTAAACCTTTGGAAAGCGATCGAAATGTTCAATTATGGTGTGATACGTACGATTCTATAGCTAGAAGATTCTTTTATGAAATATCGTTAGTATTATTACGTAATAACGATTGTATTGCGTATAAATTCTACTCTTGTACATACAAAATGTAGGAAATCGAAGGATGCTATTTATTGGTAACATTATTACCGTAACAAGCGTTGAATAAATTACCGTAACTATCTGTCAATTCCTTAAACCTTTCACTTTTACTACGAAGAGAAATGGTAATAGAAAGGTATGGTTAATTAAAATAACTTAAAACGTTACCTATTACAAGCATCCATCTTTTCAATGAGAAGTTGAGTCATCCAAACAATTGAATCTTGACTATAGAAAAGATTCGCGTTTCGTTCAACGTTCCTTCGAAGTTTTTTCAGTATATTATGAAAGGTTCTAAAGTCATCCTATAATAGATAAATGTATATTAGATGACAAAAACATATTATCTTAGTTTTACCTTCCAATCTAATTCGTATAAAAATTGAGAACAAGCCTCTTGATAAGCGACGCTATTAAAATCAAAAGCCTTTTCCACAATGCCGTTTAAATAGGTCTTTATTTTTGGGATTTCGATATTATTTCTAATTAAAAATTAATTAATTAATTAATTACTAATAATTCATTATTGTTGTTTGTTGATATTAAACCAACTTAATTAATTGACAATATCCTGTACCAATTGCTCCAAATGCTTCTTTAGCTTCCCTGCTATTACCCCATTGGTACATGTACATTAAATTAAATGACATTAAGAATAGATCAGCGTCCTCTTGAATATTAACCATTTGCGAACGTTCTACGCAATCTTCAAAGAATTCTTTGCAGATATCCTTGAAAGGATTTTCAATTATTGCGGTTAGAAATTGTCTTAATTTATTCTTTTCATTCCTGTATAAACAAAATGGAAAAAATGATAGAGAAATTCATTTCTTTCCCTGAAGACAACTTACTTAAGAATTGGTAATATATCATTAAAGTAATGATCCCTAAAGATAATAGTAAAGTAGTTGGCTTGTTCGCCATTTTTAATATTCCTTATATTATCTAGAAATGTGTCTATAGTCGATTTTCCAGAATAGGACAACTGCATTGAAGATAATTATGATAAAGAGGAAGAAATCTCTACTCTATCTAATGATACTTACGAAGGATAATTTATCATTAAAATATTCACTTATATTCACAAATAATTCATTAATTTTCCGATTTGATGAATATTCAAATTTCGAATATAACTCATAGAGTTTAGCAAAGAATCTTGAATTTGTTGAATTTCTGTATGAAACAAAGGATTACGTTGAAAAATTTGTTTCGATTCTTTATTGCTTTAACTCACTTTATAGATTGAAAGTAGCATTGGTAACAACATCTTGGCCACCGGAAGGTCAAATGTCAATGATATTTACTCAACTGTTGTACATGTTTCATTGATTCTTTTTCCTATTTGGCCAGGGTTGCTAAGGACGCTTCATAATAATTAGAACAAGAGAAATAATGTTCATATTAGTCTTTTTTTTTGATGTGACTACCATCTTTTTCGATACATTGCTTGAGCCTATGCCCCATTCCATCATGTAGACCTAGTAACAAAACTGGCTGTTTCATCCACAGCTTCACTGCAAATATTGATAAAAAATTAGCCAAAAACGAAAGTTGGAAAACCCAAGATACTTAATTATTCGCATTATTGACAATCCTTCATTTATTCATTTGTCTTCGAACAGAGACAGTTTAAATGTCTAATTCTTTAAAAAGAATGGCAACTGTTGAAGATTGGTTCTTCTACGATTACGAACTATGTATATTTACTGTCGGTAACCGTATCAAACGGTTGCTGTATTCTAATAACCAAAGCTAATAATTATCACGTGTGGATACACGTGATTACGTAACTACGAGATTACGTCTCGTAGTATGACACATGAGACTTGATACTTATGTATATATATATATATATATGTCCGACCACCACAACAACACCTACTGATCGCGATCAGGTTCTCAAACACTCCCCCCCTCTAAAGAACCTCGTGTTTCTTTAGAATGGGACTACCCTTCTCGGATCTCGCCACACTAAGGACCTTTCAGTGAGAATCTGTAGGTTCCTAGGCTGCCCATCAGCTGATTTCTTGGTTTTCTGTATACGTTCTATCTTCCAATTGTGACGTTTTAAGGAGTCACTAACTAGGACTACTAGGTCATTAGCCTTCAGAGTTCGTCCACTCTTTTTGTTCCATTTTGAGGTAGTTTGTAAAGTGGCTATGTACTCCTGGAACCATCTTCTCTCCAGCATAGCTCTGACAGATTCCATCTGTTTGTAGGAGTTTTTTATTCCTTTGCTTTCCTTAGATTGAATCCATAAGAAGGATGCTGGAGTGAGGAGGGTTTCTGTGTGATCCTCCAGGATAGTTGTCAATGGTCTTTGATTGACAATACTTTCGGTCAGAGTGATTGCAGTCCTTAGGCTTTCCTCTGTTGGTATCTCCTTGTTTAGCACTTGCAGGGTACCCTTGACTGGTTTCACCAAAGATTCTCATAACCCTCCTCTATGAGGAGAATTAGCTGGTATCAGTTTCCAGCAGATTCCTGCCCTTTCCATTTCCTCAGCCAATCTCCTAAAGGCTCCTGCACCATCGGAGTGTGCATTTTCTGGGTGGCCTGGCCTCGCCATAAACCTAGTCCATGCCCCCTTTGTGTGTCCAAAGGATGTTGATGTACAGATCTCCAGGTGTACTGCCCTCATTTGGTAGCAGGCTATGAGTAGAACAAATCTTTGTTCACCTTCATCAGCGTAATATGGTCCCGCGTGATCTACTCCTACATTTCTAAAGGGTCGCAGTGGTTTCTCAGTACACGATTTTGGCAGAGGAGCTTGTGGTATACTATAAGTCCGGCCCCTCCTATACCGTACACAGTAAGGGCATGTTTCAACAATGGCCTTTATCTGTGCTGTCCCTTTATGCAGCCAGAACCGCTTCCTAATCCACGCCCTTGTCTTTTGTACACCTTGATGTGCTGCTTCATTGTGAGATGTAAATACTATAGCTTTAAACAAGGATGGGGTGCCGCACATCATATGGTAATCCATATGCATTCCTTAGCCTACCATTTATCCTGATCACCCCATAGGTGTCTTTAAATGGTTCTAATTGGGGAAACTTCTCAATTGAGATATACTTTTGTTCATCTCTCAGCAAGTAGGCTATTGCCAACCTTTTCTGTTGATAGACTGGTATTTTTGAGTGAGCCCATTTCACAACAATTTGGGCTATCCTAACCATCTTTTCCCAATCATAAGAGAATGGCCTAAAAATGTCCCCTAGTGCTACACACTGGGTCATTCCAGATATGACTGGTGGCAACAACTCATTGTCTGAGTGTCTTCTTCTCCTGGTCCCTAGATCAGCAGGATTTACCTTGCCTTCAATCCTTCTCCATAAAGAAGGATTTGAATTGTCTATGATATATCTTATCCTATTTCTAGTGAAGGCGTCCAACTTAGCATCTGCATTTTGTATCAGTGTAAATACTGCATTATTGTCTGTATGAAAAGTAACTTCTACTCCCTTCAAGTTCAATTTTTTGTACAACCTCACTGCCAGTACTGCTGCTTGTAGCTCTGCCTTTTGCATAGAATTGACATTCTTTTCATTGATTCTAGCCTTGGCAGTTAACAGAGTCATCTTTTTACCTTCCCCTAGATAAGGTATCCTTTTTAGGGCTGGAGACCCCATGATGAGCTATACACCAGGCCACCTCTATGGAGCCTGCTTTTCAGTAGCAAACCCTTGTTCTATATATTCATAGACAGACTGGTCATATTCTCTCTCATATACCGGATCTCTCTTAAATCTCACTAAGAGACTCCACAACCTACGCTCTGCTAGTGAACGGCTCAGCCTCAGATCTCTGACATTCCTTTTGAAAGGAACAGCAGCCTTTAGCTCTTGGATGTCAAATTCATTTTTGACATTTAGCATTCATTTTTATTTTAGCATAATTTTGGCCTTGTGGCAAGGGCATTGTCCTGTTGGAAAATGAAACCCTTCCTATATAGTTTTTTTAGGAATGGCATGACCTCTTTTTTCAAAAGAGCCAGGTACCATGCCTTTGTGCCTTTTTATTTCAATTCTAGAAATTTGCACAAACCCATCTGGTCCAATACACCCCCAGATTGTGACTCCTCCACTACCCATTGAATGTTGACATCTTAAGTTTTCTCTTTCTGGATTAGACTGCCAGGTTTGGAAGTTATCTGGCCCATCCAAACTGAATCTACATTCATCAAAGATGATTACATTGTCCAAATTTACCTTATTTTCAAACCACCCTCTACAAATTTCCACTCACTGAAGTTGATTCTTCTTCTTGAGAGGGGAATGTTTAGGAATTTTTTTAAATTTCCCTCCCATTTCTTTAAGGGCATTTTGAATTGTCATTTTTGAAACAGTAAGGTTGCACTTAGATGCCAGCTTTGTGCTTGTAACCCTCTGTTTCTCTTTCTTCAGTGTGTTTATTTCTCTCTTCATGAGGGTCCTATCTCTAATTGACAGAGATTTTGGTCTCCCAACACCTCCACTCTTTGTATAATTTGGTTTAATAATGCATTGTATGGAAGATTTCAGAATATTAAAAATCTCCGAAATCTGCCCATAGGATAAACCTTCTTGGTGCTTCTTTTAATTAAAGTCTTCTGCAATGGGACAGCAGATGTAATCATTCCCAATTTGTATTCATCCCAAACAGCAAATACTTGGTTCTGCATGTGGATGACACTTTTCTTCTGATACTTCTTTAGCCTTTTTTCTGACAGAAGTTTCTCTACAACTGGAATGAAACTTGATTCCTGTTTTAAAATATCTATGAGCATATAAAATGAGCCTTTTGCAGGAGTATTTTCATTTATTCTTCTGTGCCATCCTTCAACATTATTGTTGGTCCTGATGGCAAGATCAAATACAGACCAACAATCTGGTGTCCAAATTGAATGCTTAATCCAAGTACTTTCAATGTATTGGAAAAAATCCAAAAATTCATTTCTCTCAAAGGCCTCATCTTTTAGCATGTAAAAACTGTTTAGAATGGCCTCATCTGGAAGAAAAGGTAATGCCAAAACTTGTTTCAGCAGTCCTACCTTCTTCTTTTCCCTATTATATTGTTGTGTGTATCCCAAATTCTACAATAATTTAATAATAAGGCAAACCACTGAATTCAAATAGAAGCTTATGTACTTTGTTGTATTGCAATTGTAGGAATTTCTGGTTTGTCACAACTGTAATTGTCCTTTCCAATCATTTACCAATCTGCCAAAGTACTGGTCCAAGTAGAACCTTTCTTGGAAGCAAATAGTAAAACTCTTTGATTTCTTACAACAATATCACTTTGAAGAAAATCATCTTGTATAAATGTTGTATTAATTTCAAAATCAATTTTCTTTGGTTCTTTAGGCCTTGATTTTGGCCTATTGATTAATATCAATAGGCTAATCTCCTCAGATTTTCCAGTTTTGGTAGGTTATTTTCATTTATATTTAAATTAGTTAATAGATCTTCAGCAATTGCCCTTCCAGATGTCTTGATGTTACAGATTGCTCTCAATTCTTTTTTAGCACAAATATTCACAATAAGGCTTTTCCTTTTGTTACTCTTTATGAAAATATTTTCTTTTTTTGTTGAATAATAACTGGACATTGAATATTATTATTTCTAACAGAACATCTCAGCAATAATATCTTATTGATCTGTAAAGTACACGGAGACATTTTCGAAAAATGCTAAGGTGAAATAATATGCCTTTGAGGAAAAAAGCTTTGTGAATGTGTAAATAATGGGATTGGCTGCCAATGTACCTGTCAGCAAATATTTCCCACCCTGAAAACATTTTAGGAAAAGATTAGTTTGAATATTTCGATGAATTTATTGTTAGAAGGGCTCCAATTTAGGGTTAGGGAATACAAAAAACACAGATATTACACTCAACTTCTGATATATTAAGGTAAGCTTCAACCCTCCATGGGTTCGTTTGCACCGCCACCCGTAAATAATATCTAGATATGCTGCATAACACATTAAAAGACATACGTTGATAAAATTCTATAGAATCACACTTACACTACAAATATTTGACTAAAATGGGCCAAAAATGAAAGTTGGAAAACACAGAATTAAATATTCTTAGTTACTTTATTGACAATTCTTCGTTTATTCGTTCGCCTTTGAAGAGAGACAGTTTAAAAGTCTAATTCTTTAAAAAGAATGGCAACTCATCCTCCAGAATCATCTTTGCCGGTAAATAAAATATTTACAGTATTTAAAAAGTTTAATACACTATTTTTCCTATAATCTATTAAAATTTAAAGAAAAATGAATGCAAAATCTTTAAGAATTAAATATTTCATTTCTTTGACCAGATTGTATTATTAAACAAAATACCTTGAGTTGACTGCTCTTTTCAGAAGGAGATGATTATTTTTCATGGAGAAATTTGTATTGAAACATATAAAGAGATTGAATCAAGAAATAAGACCGCAGATTCTTCATTGACAGAAAAGACTGCACATTCTTCATCGACAGAAAAGACTGCAGATTCTTCATCGACAGAAAAGACTCCAGATTCTTCTTCATCAAGAGATAAAACCGCAGATTCTTCTTCTTCAAAAAAAGAGATTGCAGCATCACTTTCAACAATAATTTTATCAAAACTAAAAGAAAACTTTTCTATTGATAGATTTGATCTAACAATTGTCTGTCATCCTTCAAATGACACATTTGATGAGCAAAAAGAAGAGATTGAAAACAAATTTATAGAGAATTTTATAGATATTCTTAAAGAAAAGAAAGTATTAATAACATCGGATAGTCTTGAATATCCTGCATTGAAATTACTATTAAAAAGTATTAAAAAATATGAGGAAAATGGAGGTTGTCCTGTTCCAATAGTTATATATAATCCAAAAGAAAACGATGAGGGAAATGTTAATTATTTATCGATTGTTGATGATTTGAAGAGAGAGATGGAAAATGATGTAATTCATTTGATTTTTGATGAAAATGATGATAATTTATTAAAAATACAAAACTGTTTAGAAAAGAGACAAGATGTAATATGGTTGAACAATAAAAATAAACATCGTTTAGCTAACAAGGTGACAAAAAATACTGAATGGTTAAGAATAGCCGATGAAAAGAGAGACGACTTTCTCAAGATAATTATATTCAATATAATTAATAAAAAGAAAATATTTGGAAGAAAATCATATTTATCTGATATTGGAGTAAATTGTATGGTTAAAAACTTTCCTAATTTCAACATGAAACCAAACTTTATAATACAACTACCATATTCAACTCTATCTGATGATAATATTCAACAAATTAAGCATCATCTAACAGAAAATGCATCATTATTTTTAACTGATGGAAAACCAAATAGATTATTGGCAAAAGCTACAAATGACAACAAATCTATATGGTGTGGATTTGTAAAGGGTGAACATAATACAATCAAAAATAAAGATAGTGTAAGTCAAGAGACATTAAAGGGTGCCGGTTTGGACCTAAATCATCAATATTTCTATTTTCTTGGAGAAGATGAGGATGAAATGGAAACTAAAGAAGCATTCATTAAACATGTTCAGACACAACATGAAAAGGTTATTGATGTCTTAATTAATTTTGAAGGCAATAGTAATGATGAGGTTATTCAAAGGTTAAAGTCTAAAAAATATATTATTTCTCCAACTGAAATAAAAGATGAGAAGATGAATGAAGAGTGCAAGAAATATTTGAAAACATTCAAAAAAGAGGAAAATGGTTTAAAAGACTGTCTTCAAGAGATTTATGAAGAAAATTATCCATCCTTATTTATTGATGAACAAGACAACGAAACTGTAAAAAATACTTTGAAAGAAAGGAAAGATATACTGAAAGGCAAACATTTATTTATAACATTTAACAATAATGACGAGCACGATAACTTTGATAATCAGTTTATGAGAATCTTTGAAAAGAAATTTAATGTAGTTGTAAAAGTATTCAAACCATTGATATTAATTGATGGATGTTCAAAATTATTAGGACCCTGTAAAAAGGCGACACAAGAAAAGAAAATTAAATTATATAGTACAGAACCGTCATGTCTTGAACATAGCTCAAAGGAGGAGTGCCCTAATCATAAAGAGAAATATGACCACTATAAATCACTTAAAAAATCATTTCTCCCTAAAGCGATATTGCAGAAACAAATTATACAAGCGGAAGATAAAATTCCTGATTTCTATTTAATTTCAATATTAATAGTAATTGGCGGTGAAATATACAAAACTCTACAAGAAATATGCAACATACTAACAGTGAAAAATGATAGAATTGATAAAAAACCTAATGTATTTATCATTAGAAAATGTGGAAAAACATCATTATTTCTTTATAGATTTATTTCTATAATTAAATCTGAAAAGGCAGAAAGTGAAATTTCCGATTTATGGAAAAAGAAGATAAAAAATCTTACAATGACAAAAAAAGTAGATGAATGTTTTGAATTGTGTAAAACAATTTCTAAATACAAAGATCAAATTCATATAGTTAATTTATATAAAGAAGATTTAAAAACTGCTATTGAAGATGCCTATTTCAACAAATTAAATGATGATGATCAATTTGAATTGGCAATCCGCTGGGGAATTACTCATAGACAGTTTAAGGAAGATTTTGATCCTTACATTGAAAAAGAAAAATTTCAAAATTACCAAGAATTCTTTACAGATTCCTTAAAAAGTGACAATAAACGTGTCGTTGAAATAGTTCATAGTATTTTTCCAGATGTAACAAAGACTTTCTACCCTGATGAACTTTTTACACTTTCACTTAACAACGTTAAAGGTTTTAAATTCATTCAGAATTTAGAGAAAAAGCCAATTGTTGTCTTAGAAAAGTTAAATGGTGAAGGGAAATCGATTAAAGACTACAATTTGCGTCTTGAAGAGTTTAATAAGAAACAATCTGTGAAGGGGCTGAAAAACTCTTAAGCATTTTGAATAATGAAGCCTTTAATAAAAATAAAGAAGCTCAAGATCATAAAAAAAAGCTTAATAATTTCAAAGAAGAGTTTAAGAATGCCGTACTGAATTTATTTAATGAACATTTTGATAAGAATTCTTCAGTTTATAGCTCACTGGAAAATAAATTGTTAGATGGTGATGACATAACATTCATATTTGCTTGGTCGATTATTGCCAACAAGACAAAAGTCTCGGAATACTTTTGGCTGAAGAGTAACAATCCTTTAAAATTGGCTATATTTGCTTTTGGAATTTTAAAACGGGCTAGGAAAGAGGCAATCAAGGAATATGATACTTTTTTAGCTACATCCTTGTTAGAGAGGAAACAAGTTTGGAAAGACAAAGCCCTTAGATATTTAAATGATGCTTGTGAAAATGATAAAAACATTATTGACAAAAAAGTAAAGGAAGAAGCGAAGCAGAGACCAAATTCCATAGACTCTGCTAGAGCTGTAAGATTTAAAGAATATATTGCCAGTGCATTTGGCCAATGGTATTTGAATGAATTATGGCAAGGAAACTTGGGCAATGGAACCAATTTTTCACCAAGAGTAAAATTTTGGATAGCTCTCGTAAGTATGATATTTAATTAACTGTTCTAATTTTCTAATTTTACCATTCAATCAACAGATACTCCATCTTCTATGTTTATTCACATTCTCCTTCTATTATTTAATTGATCTTCAACCAAAAACTGATAAATCTTTACATGGTAGCGAAGTGGCTTTTTACTTTTTCCTTAGTCTTATTGTACTGATGGAAATAAGTCAGGTAACAAATTCATTCCCATAATTCACTGTAATGACAATTTCTGTCTTCCCCTCCCTCCCCTCTACCTCCCCCATATAAAATAGATAAAAGAGCTGAGTCTTCTACAATATTGGAAACATTTGACAGATGATATTTGGAATATTCTTGAATTGCTTATATTCATTTTCTGTTTACTATCAGTAATACTTATTTTTGTAATACCAAACAAGAACTTTGCAGTTGTAAGAAGCTTTTACGCCATTTCAATTTCGTTGTTTTATTTGAGAACTGCACTATTCTTATACAATTGGCAAGCATTTGGAATAAGGCTAATTATGATTTTTGAAATGATTAAAGATACAGGAGTAATGATTCCAATATTCTTAATATTTATATTGGCCTATGGAGTTGCCCTACAAGGACTTTTATATCCCAATTTTCCACTTGGACTTACCCTTTTCAAAAATATTGTATACGTGCCATATTGGCAAATATACGGAGAATTATTTCTTGAAGAAATTACGGGAAATGATGAAGAATCGTGTAATTCAACATCTATAAATGGTAGCAGCGATCGTTGTCCACAAAATTCAGCAGTAGCAGTAATACTGATGGCAATTTATCTATTTGGAGCTATTATTGTGTTGGTTAATTTGCTTATTGCTATGTTTGCAAGTACATATAATAGAATTGAAGCGAGATCTGAAATTATTTATCGTTATAAAAGATACGACTTCAATTATAGTTTTCACTTTTTTTTCCGCTTAGGAGTAAGTAGTTAACCGACCAATTAGAATTCTTTGTTCACTTTTTATGTTCAACATTCATTTCAGATTTTCAGGACTGCTATTGAAAAATTATGGTCCTGTTTTAAAAGGTGTTATAAAAGGTCTACTGCAAAAGTGGGGACTACAGTGTAGAGAACCGTTAACATTTTTGTCATCATTAGTAATTCTTTGAGAATGAATGCGTGAACGATTTAGCCTGTTGAAGAGAGTAATATCGCAATAGTGTAAAATGTTGATTTATCTAAATAGCTGATTATCACCTGTCAGAACATGTTCCTTTTAACAAAATATAATATATTTCTACTAGAAGAAACTGGTAATTATTGAATTTAGAAATCGTTCTCTTTTGGCTGAAACCTTAGACTTAATAGTTTCTGTCCCTATCACCTATGACAACTGTGTTCAATAAGTGACCATTTAATCAATATCCTCAAAGGTGAAGGTTATAAAAAAAAGCATATTCAGTTCAAACGTGACTACACAATCAGGAAATTTTCTCTATATAGTGTGGCGTAATTTGCAGTTTTTCCCATTTTTACAGTTATATAATTTTGAGATCAACATGACAGAAGAAACTAAAATAGTTCAGAAATATTGTCCTTTAAGTAAATTAACTGCTGATAATCTGAACAATTTATCAGAAGATTTCTCAAATATACCGCAAGAAAATATACAGTACAATGTAACAGAATTTTTAAATCTATTGCAGTTGAAGATTTGTAGTAAAAATGGATACAGCGAAAATTCACCTGGAGCTAGAGGATTACAAATAATTTTTGATCGCTTTAAATTTATTTATGATAAGTAAGTAGAAAGAATAAGAGAGAACAACAGCTCTCTTTCCCCTTCCTCCCGCTCTTCCCTCATCTCTCTACCATTATTCAATTACATTATGTAATAAAAAGAATTGTTTTCAATTATCTTACAGTAAAATGTCCGATAATGTTAGTAAATGGAAGCCAATTTGTAAGAAATTAATGATAATAATCCTAGCCGTTTACGAAGAGAATTGCGTATCATGCGGTAATATTCCTTTTCTAATGAACTTTTTCGAATTACAAAACTTTGGCGATTATCTACAAGTAATCAATAAATATAGTTTTTAATTAATAATTTAAATTAATAACAATTAAACGTCTCTTCTTATCAGAAAGAAATTAAAGAAAATGAGATAAAAAAGCTTTTAAAAGTTCTTTGTCAGGAGGACATTAAACTTTGGAAAGCGATCGAAATGTTCAATTATGGTGTGATACGTACGATTCTATAGCTAGAAGATTCTTTTATGAAATATCGTTAGTATTATTACGTAATAACGATTGTATTGCGTATAAATTCTACTCTTGTACATACAAAATGTAGGAAATCGAAGGATGCTATTACAAAATGTAGGCCTGAAATATTGAAAGGATTCTTTATATGGATTGGTAGGATGGCTGAAGATAAAACTACGCAACATTTATCGGCAAATATGATAGTATTATTTAGAGATATATCGGAGAATTCCCTACAGAACAAAGGTGTACATCTTCTCTTCGAAGTAAGATTTTTAAAATTGAACATTCAATAGAAATTTCATACGCCTATCCAATTACTTAAGAATTCGGACGGAAACTGTCTAAACAGCTTTGTAACGGAAGTGACAAAACTATTAACTCTTACAAAGTATCCTCCATCGAATAAAGTTCACCAAGCTATTCTATTCTTAATAGACCAATGCTACTTTCAATCTATAAAGTGAGTTAAAGCAATAAAGAATCGAAACGAATTTTTCAACGTAATCCTTTGTTTCATACAGAAATTCAACAAATTCAAGATTCTTTGCTAAACTCTATGAGTTATATTCGAAATTTGAATATTCATCAAATCGGAAAATTGATGAATTATTTGCGAATATAAGTGAATATTTTAATGATAAATTATCCTTCATAAGTATCATTAGATAGAGTAAAGATTTCTTCCTCTTTATCATAATTATCTTCAATGCAGTTGTC